AATCATTCTGTTATAACATAGTTGAGAATCATCTTTATACAACGTTTAGTAAAAAAAAAAAATCCTGAAAACTAAAAATGTATTGGTGATTTAAAAAATTTGTTTTTGCCTATGCATGTTCATTCATGTCTTTTTATTTTTTTTTAAATTGAGTCCCGATGTCCTCTACTGAGGACATAGCATAACTTATGAATGAAATATCATTTTTACATTTTTTTTAATGCTCTAAACAACGTAAAGACATGAAAAAAACAATTTTTTTCCTAAAAATCTTTTCTTGGGTCTTAAGAGGTTAATGGAACCAGCCTAAAAAGAACCTTTATTTTTGAAAGTGTGTATAAATATATAAGAGTGTATCCTGCTATGAAAGGGCAACCACTGCAATAAAGGAATTAAAACAAAATAAAGCATAATTTATTTTGAAAATAAATTATGATTTTTTATTTTTTTAAGTTTTTATTTGCATTTCAAATAATTTCAAATTGCCAAATGAGTCAAAATTACATCCCAACTAACCATTTGAAGTTCACTGATGACAAATAAATACTATACAGAAATTAGTGATGTCTAAAAGTACTTTTAGCCTATAGTGGAGAGCCAATGGAGACTTGTGCTTAGATGTTTCTTCTGAGAAAAGGTCTTGTTTCCCCAATATCATATAATCTGAGCTGCTCCACATTAATTTTACAGCCCTGTACTCTTACTCTATGACAACTATAGGCTCATTTGTGTCTTTTTTATCTCTCCTAAGGAATTTTAAGAGCAACATCTGCTAAAAGTTAACGCTCCTCATAAAAATAAAGGTTCCAGTTTTTGCAGCGATGCCATGAAAGAACCATTTCTGGATCCCCAAAGAACCTGTCAGCAAACAATTCTTGTAAGAACCATTTTTTAAACATCCAAAGAACCTTTTTGTGGAATGGAAAGATTGTTGTACATCGATGTTAAAAGTTCTCCATAGAAACACTGATGCCAAAAATGAATCTTTATGTTTATGAATATAGTTGAGAGTCTCCTGCTATACAAATCGCAATAAAGCTATTAAAATAAAATCTAGCATCTTTTTAAAAAAAATTTCAAATCATTTTAAATTGCCAAATGAATCATAATTAAATCCTAACTATCCATCTGAAGTCAAATATATAGTCAAATCTAAATGTTCTTTTATCCTGTATGTCTGCGCATTAATTCTCAACTTGACTGGAGAAATTTAATCTAAATGTGTCTGCACCTGAGCTGATATATGTGTCAAATATATTTCTGGCAGAAAACCAGACGTGTGCCTTCTGTCCACTGATGACTTAAATGCATTTCTGACTTAAATTGTACTTATTTGTTACATAAGCAACTGAGAACCGAAGCCTGAAAGACAGTAAAGAGTATCAGTCATCTGTGAGATAAAACAATGAGGCTTTTTATTAAATATCTGGCCTGAAATGTGGTTGCAAAAGAGAGTAAAGAATGTACCATGGTACCGACATGGTATTCTTGGAAGTAGCTTGGAATATTGTGTAAAAAAACTAAACAAAAAAACAGTAATAATGCAGTGTTTTTTTTTTTTTTTCTTCTTTTTTTTATAGAGTCTGGATTTCCCCTGCTTATTTCACACATGCTATCCATGATAAAAGTGTTCTCTATATCTTTTGTGTTACACAATTGACAAGGTGTTTATCAGCCACGAAACATCCTTTTATGTGAGCCAGTATGCCAAATCTAATCTTGAATTATCTGTGATCGTATTGTTTATGATCTTAATAACAGGGCCAGATATGGAACAAAGTGGGGATTCTGCACAGCCTGAATATCTCAAATGTATCTGATATAGTTCTTAAAGTCCTTCATGCTCAAAATAAATGTTGAAATGTGTCAACAAGATCATTCTGACTGTGAGAAGTGCAGATGAACACTTGAATCAACCAATCTCTTGTTTCACTTTAAGCCTGAATGAGCCTGTGAGAAATGGATAAAAAATGACCGTGAATTTAACGGTAAAAGACTGTAAAAATGCTACAGTAAAAACCTGTTAAATGGTTAATGGTAAATTCCCCTACTTTATACAGTGAAAAACTGTATTGGACATTACATGTTATTTTTACGGTAGTATACCGTTTTTGCGCAAAACTCCGCATTTGAACAGTCAATAGCAAATACTTAAACTAATAGCAAAACAGTAGCTGATTCAGAAGCGCCAGATTGTCATAGCAAAGTCAGAATTACCTCCTCTCCTAGGTTCACGAAACGGTCGTCCATAAAATGTGTTGCTGTTCTGTTGTAAGTGATCTTAAAGATTCCTAAATGCATCTACTTCTGGAAGGCCAAATAAAGTGCTTTTGCTTTCGCCTGGAAACACACAGCGTCTCCCTGACATGCTGCTTCTACACTAACTGCGGTTACTGAAACCATGCTTTCTTTCTTTGCGTGCACATTTGGGCCGCATTGTGCTAATATTTCCACATAGTGAGGTAGATATGTGGGGGCGTGTTAGAACGAGCCGTTTTAGGGGGGCGTGGCAGAGTCTTAACTTTGATAAAGAATATCTCTTTGGTTTTGAGACTTTAGTCTTTGCAACTTCAGGGATCTTATCTATGCACAATCAGCTTGTAACACTCCAAAGAGAAAGGACAATTGATCATATGACCCCTTTAAGTTAAAACCATAAAACCTAAAACTTCGCTACCGTATTTTTTACGGTAAAATTCCGGCAACCACAGCCATTTTTACTGTAAATTTTACGTTTTTTTTTTTTTACAGTACATCATAACAGTGCCACTGACTAATTACACAGAATGGGATTTAATGGTCAAATAAACATAGAAACAAATCCCTCCGTTTACTTTCTGTCTACTATATAGTTGGAATACAGTGAAAATAACACCTGTTTATACATATGATGCCCTTTAATGTACCTGTTTTCTCATTTAGAGAGGAATCTAAATCTTTCAATCAAGCGATTATAACTTCACTGATTTTTTTTCCCGCTAAATAATCACTCACATTTATCTTCATCTTTCTGTCTGTCAGGAGGTCTGTATGCTGCCTTGTTGCATGTGGTTACATGGGTTTTGCCCAAGGGCTGTGTAAACCATTGTGAAAGAATATCCCACCCGAGAACGTTCTCTTCTCGTTTATTATCTATTAAGCACAGTTGCTTGGCATTAATAGGCTTTTATCCAAAGTTGATGGGTCAGGGTTCATGTGCAACACGGGGAGAAACGTCTTTATCGAGAGCACAAAATGATTGAGCACGATTGTTGTATATCAGAACTTTCCGTTTTCACTAATTGGGACTCAGGACTGAACCTGCAACAGTCTGCAGTTTATTGCATATGAATGAAAATAAATAACAAATAATCAAATTACTAACAATCAAATAAAATATCACATTTTAAAATTAAAATGAAAAATGTAGACCTAATTAAAAAAAGGAAAATGATCAAAGTGAAGTTCAGGCCATCAAGCCCATCTATAGAGTTCATAAGCTACAGCCCTGGCAAACTTGGCCATCTAGTGGTTATATTTCATTACTACAAAAGACATAGGAATGAAAATAATACAGAAATAAATAGAATAAGCAGAAATAATAGTTTCCAGTAATATATTAATTATTTATATATATTCAATTAACAAAATTAGTAGAAGGAGCAAAAAATATATTGGAACAAATAAAAAAGGAATAAAAATGACTTGCGTAACAAAATAATTCTGTAGTAGAATAAAACAGAAATAATAGTGGCAAGTGATATATTACTAATAAAATAAGTAATAATTAAGCTTACATTAGACAATAGTTTATTATTATCGTTATTTAATTAAAATTGTCAATCGAAGCAACAAGACAGAGGAAAAGCATTTACAAATAATAAAAAATATATAATATTGTGATTAATACCTATTACAATAATAATTAGGCATTGTAATATGTTAACATAAAATAATATTTTTTATAGTAATAATTAATATTTTTAGTGGATGAAACAAGACATAAAGGAAAATAATGTTTAATAAATAGTAAAATAATATGATAGTGATGAATAACAAAATATTATTTAATTTAATTTAATTTAATTTAATTTAATTTAATTTATACATTTTTTACCAGTATGTGTGTTCCCTGGGAATTGAACCCATGACCTTTTGCGCTGCTAACGCAATGCTAAAATTGAAAATTGCTGAAATTATAATAATTACGCAATGTGATGTTAATCGTTTTTTATCATAGTAATTAATATTGTTAGTACAAGCAACGAGACATACTGTAAAGGAAAATAATTTACAAATAGTAATACAATTTTAGAGCGCTTATTAACTAGATGTTATACTAATATGAACATTATTTGGCATTATTTACTTTATAATATTAGTTACAACATGATATATTATTTTTGACATTACTAAATGGTAAAGATTCGTGTAAAATGACTTATATTCAAATGTAAATGTATTTCAAGTGCAGCTGCTCTGTGAAATAAAGCGCACTAATGCCGCGGTGCATTGTGGGTGTGCACGGAGAAGTAAAATGGCGGACTTGGCGAACGAAGGTAGGCAACCGTGTGAATCCGCAAAATGAATAAAATAAAGCAAACAAACCGCCACCATGAGCCGTACACACCGTAACAGTGTCGGTTAGAGTGCCGCGCGTGTTTGTGACGCCGCCTGTAGCATAATAAAATAATTTACTTTCACTTTTGATTAATTTAATGAATCATTGCTGTATACAAGTACTATTTCTTTACTCCCCAACACTGGTAGAAACTGTAAATGTACATTACATGTACAATAATATCCTGCCAACATTCTTTTTCATGATGTGAAGTAAAGCACATTTGTACAGACTGTGCTACTTTATTACTGCCTGCATTAAAGAATGCATTCATGCTGATGGCTGACAGTTTAGAGGATCACTTCAAACCGGCGCACTCACAGAGAGAGAGAGAGAGAGAGAGAGAGAGAGAGAGAGAGAGAGAGAGAGAGTGCATGTATGCGTGAGTGTGTTGTGCAGCTAACGTACTAACTCCCGGCCTCGGTGTGTTTTCTCTGTTTGATTTTTAAGCGGGTGCTAACGCACGCTGTAAAACAACGATTAATTTAATGCGTGATAATAAGGGATTCAAGAATGACGCTTTTCTTTTTTTTAAGGATTAACATATGTATCGTTAGCGTACAGTTAAGTATTCTAAATATGAGGCATAAATGTATTCGTTTTATTTAAAGGGGTCATATGATGCTGCTAAAAAGAACATTATTTGGTGTATTTGGTGTAATGAAATGTGTTTATGCGGTTTAAAGTTAAAAAAACACATTATTTTCCACATACTGTACATTATTGTTTCTCCTCTATGCCGGGCTTTTTAATGCAATGGACAACATTAACATTTTTACTTTACTTTTGGCAGACGCTTTCATCCAAAGCAATATATGCATTGCATTTAATGTATACATTTGTATTAGTTCATGCGTTCTCTGGGAATCAAACCCATGAGCTTGGCATTGCTAGCGCTGTCTGAGCTGCATGAATTCTAGTTGCTCATATGAAGTTATTAAAATATTTAAGCGTCTGGTGACTTTTGCATTCAGCACTTCAAGTGCAATGGCAGTTCAAAATTACTTAGCATAATGCACACCCTATTTACATCTAAATGTTGGTTTCCTCTCTATAACAGAGATGGTTTTCCTTTCATAATGATTATAATTATTTAATTGCATTTCTGTGAAAATGCCACCATTATTAAATTGTATTTATTTATTTATTTATTGTTTTTACAATTTTGGATTAATAAATGTATTTATTGAACATTGCAGTCTTTTGTCATTTTTTTTCTTAACAATAGGCTACTGGAGGCCGTGTGTTAGTTATTTTACAATTGGTTGCAAGCATTTTTATGCATGACACAAATGCCTCAGACCCCCTTTATCTACACTGTAAAAAAAGATATTTCAGAGTTTTAAATAAAACAGATTGAGTATATTTTATAAGAAAATACTATTTCATTCTTTCTTCAAAATTGCATGTTTAATTCAATGTTTTGCTTGCCATTTATTAGTAATTATTTGTTAAATTTACTGGCAATTTCTGAGTGAAAATGTAATATTTTTTCAGTGCATGGTCAAATGTGTAGCACACAGTATCAAGTGCTTTATTATCTACAGGCAAAGCTGTCAGTTGATTTTTTTGCCCTTAACACGATGTGAAATTAAAACTGACCAATTCTTTCTTCAAAATTGCATGTTTAATTCAATGTTTTGCTTGCCATTTATTAGTAATTATTTGTTAAATTTACTGGCAATTTCTGAGTGAAAATGTAATATTTTTTCAGTGCATGGTCAAATGTGTAGCACACAGTATCAAGTGCTTTATTATCTACAGGCAATAACACGCCCTTAACACGATGTGAAATTAAAACTGACCAAGTAGGCATGGTTCATTCTGATCTGCGGCTGTGTAGTTAAACTAAGATATTACATTGGATGTTGGGTGCTTTTGGTCAGTTTGCGTCCGTCCCTATCCTCAAATAAACCATTTTAGGAAATTACCTATTTTGTGAATGATTATCTTGTGACTTTGGATGTTTGTGTGTGATGTAGGGAAAACTTGGATCGATCAGAGCTGTAACATTGGTACATTGCAGCTGAGCTGTTTTCTTGTTTGTTTAAATAAAAATTTTAGTTGAAACATCAGCTTAATGCAGGATTGTGGAGAGGCATATGTGTGTTGTATCTATTTGAGCCATATTTCCTACCAATTTTCTTTGTTTTTCTTTTTAACAGAGAAGCCTGCCATAGCTCCTCCAGTGTTTGTGTTTCAGAAGGACAAAGCACAGAAGGTTTGTTCACTCTATCTATCTATCTATCTATCTTATCTATATTATCTATCTTATCTATCTATCTAGCTTGTGTCACCTCTCTCGGCGTCTGTTCTGTGCAGTGAGCGGCAGAGAAGCAACACATTCAGTTGGCCGCACCGCAGCCGACTCGTCAATAAATGAGTGCAAAACAGCGTTTCCTAGCACCTGTCGCTTACTGATTGTTTGGAATTATAAATATGAGCGTAGTTCGTCTGTTAATATCACATGCACTTTTTTGTTTGTTGTTTTTTTTAGTTTGTTACTCAGACGCAGGCAGTGCGCTGCATGAGACAAAAAAGTAATATAGCTAAAACAACTGCATAGCCGCTCTTTAGTGTAGATGCATGTTGATTTCGTCCGTCCGTCCATCCATCCATCCATCCATGATTATTTGTATGTTTATATATCCAGTAACCAATATGCAGAACTGATATGATGTTTTACTTCTGCTTTTGTTTAATTTCATCATAAAAAAACGTAGCATGAATAAATTGAAAAGCATAAATTGACAAAGTCTTAAGTTTTCATAATTAAACGGCAAGAGAGTCTTTGCATAATCTGTGCACTTTGCATAAATGTAATTTGTTTTAAACTTCAGTTTAAAGTGTTGGATATAAATCCAGGAATGATTATTAGTTGGTCACTCTAGAGTTAGTGTTTTGGTTGGCCATCCTTGTCTCTAAACTGTGTTTTAAGTCTCACTGAGTTTAGTAAACTCAGTAAAAAGAAAGAAATAGCCACATGTCCCAGTTTTTTATTGTGCTTACTAAAAAATAATCATGCAAAAACAACTATTAAGCAAGCAAAACATGAAATGCATTGCATTAGAGTCACTGTCTTGCATGTAATTCTTTAAACGGTGTTTATTAATGGTGCCATTTATTGATGTTTCCAATATTACAAAACCAATATCCAAAAACAGGGATATTGCATTGAGGTTCCACTGACAAATTTTATCAAAACTTTGATCCTCTACTTAATTTTGTCAAAAATACTCCACAAATCTTTGCTGATTTATAATGTTTTTTAATTTGTTGTATTTTTTTTCTTTAACCTATGGATCTCTTCTTTCTTTTGTTTCATTATATTTTGATGTATAATTATTTAGTTGCATTGACAATTAATGTGGGTGCTAATGTACTTCTCTGTTTTATTCTCCTCCTTGGAGGCGGGTGGGAGATAGGGGCCACTGAGGCTTTTGACTGTTCATGTTCACCTTTAGTAATTGTTAAAAAAAGAAAGGGTGAACTGTGTTATTTCTGCTCTGCTAGAGGCACCAAACAGCATTGCAAGTTTTAAAAACTTGTCCACCATTTTCTCAGCCAACAGGAAGTCCTACTGAAAACTCAAGCCTTTGGTTGCGATTGCGTTTCCATTTGGTGGCTTAGAAATGACATGCTGCAGCTTTACGTGTTGTTTTTAGCAGCTGTGTCATTGTGGATTACGTGGTTGCCAACTAAACAAACCCCCTTTCCATAATAACCTGAGGATGTTATGATTGAAGACACTTAGTGGGAAATATTAAATTTAGCTTTGAGTTTTCTTACAATAACAAAAAAGAAATTTTTCAATAAACACTCAGGCGAGGCATGAAATTATCACCTGGTACCTGACAAATTTCAGCATTGGCAAGTAATTTCACCAACTCAGCTGGCCAGTTTGGCTGGTAGTGAGATGAATTTCAGCTGCCGACTGACTAACACCGATATAAATCACCCTCAAAATGTGATTTCCCCGAAGCAGTTTAAGCGAATTAAACAAACTCAGCATATCGATGGGATGGTTTTGGCTTTGGTGAGAAATTATTTGAAAACGGGGCTGTTTAAGATGTTGTTTTCCCTTGTACAGTGTGTTTCTCTCTAATGTAATCCAGCTCTGTGACCAAATTATTTTATTTATGTTTTTGTCTGTTCCAGAGATCCGCAGACGGGTCAAGTGCAGAGGATGGAGACGGTGAGTTTGAAAAGTTTTTGTTTCCAGTAATGCACCAAAGTGGAAATTATTGGCTGCTAAAAATTCTGGACGTATTGGTCCGAAAACTGAAAACGCAAATTTTGAATTAGCACTTATACGATGTAATAGTATGCTTCAGTCAAATGTTTTTTTTGATACCTAGTTTGGATACCAAAAACAGAACACAAGGACCTAAAAAAAAAACTCAAACTGATTTGTGTATGACAAAAGCACATTGTTCCTTGCAATATATTGCATGAGATGTTACTCTCACTGTCTATACAATGCATGGGACAGACAAATGGATGTGTGCGCTCTTTATCAATCAGTATCCCAGAGGAGTGTCTTGCAAAATGCTAATATGTGTGTTGTAATTTAAATTTAAATTGAATTATAATCATCTTTGCATATTGACTGCAGCATTCTTGCCATAGACTTGCGTGAGATAGTTGTGAAATCGCATGCAGTCTGCCTTTGCTCTGTCAATTGCTTTTACTCAATCTTTTTAAGTTTCCGTTCATTTTGCGGCCATTTTTTGGTGGCAAAAATTACGATGCATTGAATGAAGTTTTGGGATTTTAGTTTGTGGTTTAATGCACCATAATTTAATTTCTCAAAAATATCATAATGCCATATTTGTTATTCTGAAAATAAAACCTTCAACAGCTGATAACAGAAATATTGGCATGGAGCAAAAGCAGCGTGTACATGGAATGAGGCAATGATGATGTTTTGCTGGAAAGGAACTTGTATATGATATGTGATGAGATGCAGACAGTGAGATACTAACACAACGTCTCATGAAATATATTGTAGGACGCAGATGTGCCTGTATCATCCAGACATCAGTTTGAGAGTTATTTGGAGGTCATTGTCTGAATTAAAGGGATGGTTCACCCAAAAAATTAACATTTATTGATCCCCAGATCATCCGAGATGTAGATGAGTTTGTTTCTTCTTCAGATTTGTAGAAATGTAGCACTGCATCACTTGCTCAGCAATGGATCCTCTGCAGTGAATGGATGCCATCAGAATGAGAGTCCAAACAGCTGATAAAAACATCACAGTAATCCACACCACTCCAGTCCATCAGTTAATGTCTTGAGAAGACAAAAGCTGTGTGTTTGTAAGAAACAAATCCATCAAGATGTTTTTAACTTTAAACAAGTCATCTATCCATAATAACGCTTCCTCCAGTGGAAAAAGTAGTCTGTTCCGAATCAGGAGAGAAATCTGCGCAGATCAAGCACTGTTTACAAGTGAAAACAGTCCAAAACAGCTCTAAACAAATATATTAGTGGATTTTGATTATTATAGATTATGTATTTTAGTCAGAAGCAACAGTTTAAATTCGAAATGCACTCAGCTTTTGGCTTCTCAAGACATTAACTGATGGACTGGAGTGGTGTGGATTATTGTGATGTTTTTATCAGCTGTTTGGACTCTCATTCTGACGGCACCCATTCACTGCAGAGGATCCACTAGTGAGCAAGTGATGCAGTGCTACATTTCTACAAATCTGAAGAAGAAACAACTCATCTACATCTTGAATAGCCTGAGGGTGAGCACATTTTCAGCTAATTTTCATTTTTGGGTGAGCTATTTCTTTAAGTCTGTAATGCATTTATTGACATAATAAACATGTTTTTCTATAGAGATGTCTTTTTATTTTTGCATCCTTTTTTTGTAATTTTTAAAGTCACATCAGCTGAAGGTAGAAGCAAGTGTAATTAATATTATCAGAATGGTTAGTGATTGCAAAAAGATCACTTAAATCGAGCATTTTCAGTTCTCTGCGCTGTGTCCAGAATTTTAGTGCTTTACTAGTTTTAGTTTCTGATTGGTCTATTGATTTAATTGTGTTCTCCAGATTCAGATCGGGATGATGGCGAGTACTGTCCTCCAGTAAAGAGAGAGAGGACCTCATCTCTGACCCAGTTCCCCCCATCACATTCAGGTGAGTCTATAGCGAGCCGTGGCACTGCAGTGGATCGGGAACGGGGTGGGTTCTAAGTATTACTTTGCTAATTTTTACTCAAAGTTTTACACTCCCATCTGATCCTCTCTTTCTTTCATGCTTTCTTTGACTCCTGCTACAGTTCCCAAGAATAATATCTTTATGCCCTCAAGTTTATGCCAGTCTCCAACTGGTAATTCAGACTCGGAGCCAGGTAAGAACCAACCTTCTTTTAAACATTTTTTAATATGCAACTGTGGAGGAGGGTTTTTGACCAATGAGATTTCACAGTGAGTGGAGCTACTATTCACAATGCAATAGAAATAGAAACCAAAACTGGCAGAAAGTCTTGTTTTGGGTTCATGATTCTTCAGCTTTATTGTTTGGATTGGAAAATTTTTTTTTACTCAAGTTTCAGAGTAATCGACTGTTCAAATAAGAAATAAAAATTCATAATTCTTTAAAGGGGTCATATGATGCGATTTCAAGTTTTCCTTTCTCTTTGGAGTGTTACAAGCTGATTGTGCATAGATAAGATCCCTGAAGTTGCAAAGACTAAAGTCTCAAAACCAAAGAGATATTCTTTATCAAAGTTAAGACTCTGCCACGCCCCCCTAAAACGGCTCGTTCTAACACGCCCCCACATATCTACCCCACTATGTGGAAATATTAGCATAATGCAGCCCAAATGTGCACGCAAAGAAAGAAGGCATGGTGTCAGTAACCGCAGTTAGTGTTGAAGCAACATGTCAGGGAGACGCTGTGTGTTTAAGTGCGAAAGCAAAAGCACTTTATTTGGCCTTACGAAAGTAGATGCATTTAGGAATCTTTAAGATTACTTACAACAGAACAGCAATGCATTTTATGGACGACCGTTTCGTGAACCTAGGAGAGGAGGTAATTCTGACTTTGCTATGACAATCTGGCGCTTCTGAATCAGCTACTGTTTTGCTATTAGTTTAAGTATTTGCTATTGACTGTTAAAATGCGGAGTTTTGCGCATC